GGATGTAAACAACTTTTTTTTTCTCCCCACCCATATAAAGAGTTTGCAGTTACTTTGCTTTTGCTAAGAATTGTTCCAGCATGCAGGCAGAAAGTGATTTGCATCTTTGCTTTTGAGCTTCTAACTGTTGGCTCCTTTGGAAACGTATTTCCAGAAATGCTATATTTGATTTCAGAATTTACCACTTTATTTCTCCATTTCTAACGTGCAACAACTGAATGTTGGCTTTGCGTTAGTATGATTGGCAATATAAATATTATGTATACTCTTGCCTTCATAGTTTTTAATAAAACGTTGGTAATTCTCCATGAATTTTTAACAGTACTTGCTGATTGTTGGAGGACATGTTGCTTGTCCCTGTGGATCAACATGACCTCGCCAGTGAAAGGACCTTGATATATTCTTAGCAGATCTATAAGCAAGAATATTTCTGAAACTATCAGTAATCCAACAGGCCATCTGAGGATTTTTGTCTCTTTGCTGGAGCTGAAAGGTGAGGGCTGTTTCACAATAAAAACAGATACTTCAGTGTTTTTCAGTGTGTGAAACATGGAACCTCTTCTAGCCATGAAGCCATCAATAAGATCATTTAAGAGTGGTTATAGGCAACCATCTAGTGCTCAACTTTTTTTTAATATTTTTTTTGACACTAGAGGATATTTTGTGCACTGGAAAAACAATTTGGAGGAACATGTAATTTTGAGAAAGGACTTTTGACAAGCAAATTAAATGGGCGTTGTATGTTTGGGGAAGTTTTTGAGGTTTGGTTACTGTGCTTTGCTAAGGGAAAAAGGAAGATTCTGTTTAAGATAAAGTAGTAGGAGCAGAGGAAATGATTTTAGTTCCTGAAGGGACCTGGAGAAGGTGAGACTTGAGTTTAGTTTTGTTGCCAGGTTGCCTCAGTAAAAAAAACTACATTGTTTTTGTTTTTCCAAATCAGTTCTGAAAAGGTCAAACATTTTTCTATCCTTGGGCTGATAGGGGCCAATTGCATACCCTACATAGTTTGGAGGTCTTTGGAAATTTGTCGGGGGGGGAGGAGTGGACACACACAGAGACTTGAAAAGGATTAAACACTTGCAAAGTATTTCCAGAGAAGCCAGCTAACAGATATTTAATGTTCAGAGCTGATCCTTGCTTTCAATGAGATGTTAGTAAAATTTGAAAGCTGATGTGTTTTCTCGTGTTTTAATCACAAAGTAGTGAGAAGTCAGGCTTCTATCAACCTAATGTCGTTCTAAATATTGTGAAACTGCAACTTCTAGGGGAACCTAGAATAAAGAAGAGTATACTGATACTAACTGGGTAGAAGTGAAAATGCTGCCTTGAAGGAGGAGTATACTGCAGTGCAGGACTATGACACAAGTGTAATGTGTTGATCCAAGGAGGCTTGTAGTCACAAGTCACTTGATGGTCTTGTTTTTTAATTTTCTTGAGATGTAGTTAAGGGATAAATTTAATTTTCCTTTTCTAAAGGGTTCTGTTAAATTTATGCATGCACCCAAACAGAGAGTGGCAATATGACTGAAACTTATTTTCTGTGACATTGGAAGAGAATTTTAAAAATATAGCTCATATGCAAATACTGTAGAAATTGGCCTTCACCAAGTTCTAAAAGCAGAGTTGGATCATGCGAGATTACAGGTGACTTACTCTGTGAAGAAGACAGCATAAAAAATACTCTCCTGCAACTTCCATTTGTTTTTTCCACTACTTTGCTTTTAGTGCTTCTCAAAAGCAGTGAAGCTTTAGGGAAGACTTTTTTTTAGTTATATTGTATTTACCCTTCCTTTTTTTTTCTCAATCCTTTTCTCATCATGAACATGCTCAACTAAACATTTTCTTAGATTATGAACCAGACTTGCAGTCAGAACCATTCTTCCAGTTTCTTTTTATATTTTTTCCTATACTATCAAATTTTTCTTACTTAAATTTCTTCCCAAGTTCAATGCACAGAATAAAAAGCAAATGAATTTATGGTAACAAGTAAAAACAGCAACAACAAAAAACCCAGTACATCATACAGAGATATTGACTTCATTGCATTTTCACATTTGCCCTTTTTTCATTCAGATACGTACCATCTGTGAAAAGGCAAAGCAATCACAATCTGTGAAAATGGTGGGGGTTTTTTATTTTTTATTTTTAGCAGTATGCTTTACTATGCTGTTGCAGAGGTGTAGGTTGCATATAATTTATGGAGTTGTTTTGTGTATTCAAAGCCCCTCTGCTTGAGATACTTTCCCTCCTTCCCCCAGCCCTGAACGCATGCACGCGCGCACAGTTGTCCACCTCATCTGTTCAGAGCTCCAAACTAAACTCTGGCAGAAGTAGAAACAGAGGGAGGTCACAGTTTCCTGGCTTTTAAAAATCAGGTTTGGAGTTTGTAAGGACAAAAAAATCTACCTTTAAAATGTACTTCTGTCTCTAAATCCTACAGAGATTGGACTAAATAATTTTAAGAATGATTTTGATACTGCTTTTGTCAGTAGTATAAAGTAAAGAAGTCGGCTTTTGGAAAACAGTATTATATGCAAATTAAGTTTCAAAACACGTCTCAAGAATTTCCATATTTTTAGATAACCTGGGTAGGTAACCTGGCGAATGCTGCTTGGCATTTGGAAAATGCCGTGTAAGACAGGCCTGCCTGAGGTTTCCTTTTTACATGTAAAATAGCATGTCAGCGCTGATTCTTTTAGATGCGCTCATTTTTCCTTTTAGGAAGTCAGAAGAATTGCAGTTGTTCGTCACACTTTGGAAATTGTAGGTCTTAAGTTTCCTTTTCCTTTTGCATCTGTTTGTCCTTTTGTTTATTCGTATTCTTTAGAGGCTGACGTGACAAACTAATAGGCCCAAATAGTTTTATAGTAAGCGTGGTGGTGGTGGTGGTTGTCTGTTAAAGTACGGAATAGCAATGATGTTTGCTCCACAGAATTGCACTGCCAGTTAGTTAGTCAACATTTTTAAAATGCTTTCTAGATGAAGTAGGATTTTTTTTTTAGCTGAAACTTGGTGTATATTTTTGAATGATGGTTGTTCTTCCCCAAATTAATATAGGTTCATAATTGTAATATTAATCACAGCATGGGGATTTTTAAAAAGTAATTAAAGGCACCTGAGAGTTCTAATTTGAAAGCAGAGATTGAGATGATGTGTAGTCGCTGTTCATTTTTTTTATACCTCATTTCCAGTTGGAGAAATCTATATTATAGATTCAGTGATTCAGGGCAGGCCTATCTTTTGAATGTTTTTGCTACATGTGCTACTTTTTTTTTTTTTTTTTTAAAGATTGCTTCAGTAGTAGTTAATAAGGACTTCCATGTGATGTGGAAAGGGATAAAGAAGAGAAGGTGCAAGTAATGTATGTTTCAACATTTTCTTGTACAATTGTTGCTTTATTATGCTGAAAACTTTTCTGTATGAAATATGAGTTAGATGCTATGTTTGCACAGCTGGGCTTAAGACTATGGAAGATGGTTCTTTTTCTGGAAGATATTTAAAAACAGATGTAATGGGGATGTACGTCATAGGTCTGCTCTAATCATATGACAGCATGGTCGTCTCACTTGATTTTCTGTGAGGGGAAAAAAGTTGATTCCATTTGTCATTGTACAGAATAAGGTACTAAACAAATAACAAAGTGATATAAATTAGACAGTTTTAAGACCGGTAGGTTTTACTTTGTTTCCATATAGTCCCAGTGGCTAAGAATTAACTCTAAATAGCTCAAATATCCAAATGGGAGTTAAACACCATTTTAAATCCAACTTTTTAACAGAAGGTGAGACGTGAACAGGCTGCTGCTAGGCCTTAAAGTTTTGACAGCAGCATTTACTTGCAGACAAAGAAATATAGTTTCATCTCTAAGATAGTATCTTTCCCGCCAGCACTGGAACTGTAACTGCCATAGTATTTTAACATCTTTTGACTTGAGTCAGTGCAGGTGGCACTGGTTTTTCCCTCTTAGAAGGGAATCACAGAATCGTTTAGGTTGGAAGGGACCTCTGGAGATCATCTAGTCCAACCTCCCTGTTCAAGCACGGTCACCTAGAGCATATTGCCCAGGATCACATCCAGACGAGTTTTGAATATTGATGGGATTTCATCGAATAAATAATCGTTCTTCATTTATAAAATAACTTGATAAGTAAGACTTATTTTCTTGATAAGAAGAGGAATCATATGGGGAAACACTTGGTTCTCAGTTCCAAGTCCCTGTCTAGCCAGCGCTATGATTGAAATCTCTTTCTAATAACCCAAACTTGCACATTGCCTCTACATTTGAAAAAAACCTATGGGCTGTGGTGATAATCCTAACACACTTTTATTTCCAATCCTATGAAGGATGGCTTGGTTTTGATACTGAAGAACAGATTTCTGACACTTCCCACAATTCAGCCTCTGGAAGAGTAGGATAGAACTAAGCTGACGTTTCCAGTTGTTGCTACTAGTTTTTAAGAGTAATTCTACGTCATTCTTGTCTAAATATCTTTGTCTGAAATCCTGAATCAAACTGCCTGAATGCACAAAACTGCAGTTTTAGGAGGAGGGAAAAGAGGACTAGGAACGAAGTGTAGCACCAAATTATACACCTCTTATTTTCTGAACAAAAAGGTTGTCTCCTCTTTTATACTAAGAGCTGTATGCATAATGCATGTGCAGTTTAGCAAGTGTCCAATCCTTTCGATACCTTCACTCGAGAGTGTACTGAATTATTCCCTATCCAGTGGCTTTTCTTAGAGTGCTCTGTGCCTTTTCTAATACCCAGTAATGATGCATGCTTGTTAGGGCTGCAGTCAGTGTTGCACAGGTGTAACTGAGAGCAAAATAAATTCAGTGCGATAAGCCAGTAGCTGGAGGATGAATAACAACATGGCCAGACTCGTTCTATTGTTCCAGAAGTATGAAAGTACAAACGTTAAACTCGTGAACTGCTTTAAGTTGTGATATTTATTTATTTCCCTGCTTGTTTCTCTGTTTTGTACGTGCTTTTATTTCAGCCCATCTAATCTTTCTATTTGCGGGAGCTGAAAGAAAGACTGCGTGCACGTTTGAGCACCTGTGAAGCGCATGCTGCAATGACACCAGAGAAAACTTTTACAAGTGTAAATAACCTTCAAGATTTATTTTGTAGTGACTTGTTAAAGTAAGGTTTGTTTTTTAGAAGCTTTTGGAGATTGTCATGTGTGGGCTTTTTGTTTGTTTAAGATTTAAGTTAAGAAAGAGTTGTTTATACTCACTTTTCTGGGGGAAAAGAGGAGACATCGTGTAATACTGGATGCCTAAAAGGGAGATTTCCAGTTGCTTCGAGGTTGCTGCTCGGTGGTAAATTCGTTTTCCATGAAAGCTTTTGAAGTTTTTTGAAATTATAAGATGTATTATATTTTATAAAATGCACTGGTTGGTATTTACAGCTCATTGGGAAGCCCAATTCTTAGATTCTTTCTAGAACATAAGTTTGTTTATATTCTGATTTCAACTTCGGTATTAAAATGAATTTATTTTGTTGGCTTGATATTGATTTGGGGTTTGAATTCAGAGCTTTTGTGTTAGTTTAATCTGTTGCTAATAGTAATCTACGCTTTTATATCTGTCAATCCTGTTTTGATAGTTTTACATATTTTTGTTATAGCTGACCAATAATACTTCCGGTGTTCAGTTTAGTAAGTCAGATTGTCCTCTGGAGTTGGTAGTAAAATATCTTCCATCAAAACTTTAAGGAAAAGATTTATTTTTTTCTTTAAAGCAAAGACAGACCTGAGTCTGAAACTATCTCTGTACTCAGATTTACTCCCTCCCTTCTCACCTTTTAGGTGTCACTCAGATACAGAACACCGAATTTATTCGAAACCGAACAAAAAGGCTTGGTTACGTTGTATGTGAAATTCCGACCTATAGTAATGGGGATGAGAGACGGAGCAGTTAATAAGAGGGGTTTTAACGTAGGGCTGACTGTGTTGATCCCAGAATATGGGCTTTTCCTGCGTGTTTTGCTTGCAGTTGGCCTGCAAATGAGTTCTTTTAGTATGGTGAGATATTCCAAAAAAAAGTGTTAGTTTAAGGCACTGTAATCTGAATGTACATATTTGTAGCTGAAACCTGTTATGAAGAAGAAGAATATTTAAAGAATTATGTCCCATTATGCTTTAGTTCATTTTATTTTCAACACAGATTTCACACTTTGAGTCTAAAGAGATGTAGCTTGAAAGTTGAAATTTTGATGAAAGGACAAACTTTTCGTGAAAAATTTTGAGCAGAAGTAAGTTATACTTTTTTGTTTTGACTAGTTGCTTTTTATATGGAGACATAAGTGCATTGCATTAGATGTTTAATTCTATACAGTAATTTATTTAAAAACTTTCTGCTGAGGGTTTCTTAGGGGATTATGTGTGGAAGAAAAGTATAGTCAATGGTATGACGTATATTTGCCAGTATAGTAAGCAGCTGGGGACAAGAAAGCCAGGAATGTGACAATAGTATGTGGATCCTTTTGTCTCAGGTCGCAATCTGTGAAATCCCCACAGAGTCAGTTTTCCTTTGGACATGGAGCATTAGTCCTCAAACAAAGCACAGTTTCGCCTAAAGCACACCTACCACCTAGAATGGATATGAAGATATTGGAGCTCTGAAGCTGTCAAGAAAGGCCAACAGGACATGCCCTGGTCCCTTATGATAGTCACGAAGCAAGGCAGAATGGTGGGATGCTTCCCTCATTTCACCAGAAAAGAGGATACTTCAACTAGTAGCTGCTGGTGCACAGAGGATAAGAGTAAGTGAAGCCCTCTGCTGCTTTTCATTCTTTAAAATGCTGTGAACTGCCAAAGATGCTAATGTAGAAGATCAGGCAACAAAAGCTGTTAAATTCTACAGATGCAGAAGAAAGATGCTAAATGTTATTGGTCTATCCTGCCTTGATCCTAGGTTGCTCGTTGCAGAATTCTTGCTACTAATAGCTTATTTAGAAGATATTTGTGATTGCAATCTGACCTAGAGGTGTTTATGAAAACTTCAGGATTCTTCTGCCCCCTCCTCCTGCCCAAATACTTGACACATTGATGCTTTCTTGACAGTCTCAGCATGAAACAGATCTAGCCTCACAGGAGTAGTTGTAAGGGGAAAAATTGCCTGTAATGGTTGATGAAACCTGCTGTATTCAGTGTTTGGCCATACCTTTGGCAGGGGCCTTTTTGCCCCCTTAGTGTAGGGTCCTGACACTAGGTAGGTCTCAGGTACAGTGGGCCTGCCTTTGTCAGTGCAAATGGATGCTGAGTGCTTGCTTGTAGGTACCCGGAGGCAGAAACTCCCTCCACAGATCTTGAGGACAAGTTCCTTTTCTATACAATGCCTTGCCTGCCACTGCCCCACAGTGTTTCCTAATTGGCTTATTTGTCATCATCTTTAGGAGGAAAAAGCCACTGCGGGTGGATGTAAATAATTGTCAGCAGAAATGAATGAATTGGAGGTTCTCGTGACTGACTCTTAACTGCATTTTGTTCCATCAAAGCAAACTCTTCTTCATTTACTTTTTAAATGGTATCTGGATGTTTAACTTATTATTTTGTCAGCAATTTCTTCTAAGCTGTATATTCACATGAAGGTGCAGCAAAATATTACACACTGGATGGCTAAAGACTTTAATTTATTGACCAAATAGAACCAAAGGATTTGGAAGAAATTAGAAAAAGTATTTGGAAGGTCTCTGAAACTAATTTTTGTTCATCTTTATATGATCTATTGTTACTTGCATGTCTCAGCTGTTCTAGCTTAAGTGCTTTAAGACTCTGAACAGAAAAGAGCTATTATCTAACACGGCTCCTTTCCTGTTGGGGTTAGGTTATGTTCTTTGAGGGTAGAGACGGACCTTCCTTGTGATATGCTTCAGAGGAAAACCCTGTTTTAGAAATGTGAGAGCTATAGCATGGAGCTATCCACGCTTTCCCAAAACACAGCTTGTAGATTTAGCAGTCCTGCGCACTGCATTGTGATGCTTGATGTGTGGACTAGTCATTGATCAGAATTTCACAGTGGCTTAACAACCTGTCTCAGTTGAAATGAAGGTCTCTTTAGCTGGAGTTCTTTGAGGTAGACCCTACATATCTACGCTCCCAGTTAAGTTCATTGTTTCCTAATTATTAGTTTGGCTCTGAAAAAGCAATAGGAGGAAGCCTAGCAACCAGAACAAAACATCTCCCTTTGCATTTTCCATTATGACATTCCTGACAGAGGAGTAAATGAGTCTGTAAGCTCACATTTCTTAGGGCTTAGAAATGCTCAAAAGTGAGAGGAAAGGACTAACTGGTGCTCTTGCAGGCATGGCTATAAAATATCAGTAATACACCGTAAGGACGGTGACTGTGCAAGAAACATCTCAGGGAACCTCAGTGAAAGGCTGGTGTAAGCTGCAGCTGCGCTGTGGGGGGCGTACTTGCACAGTTCTCAAATCTTGCTTGCATTTGCATCTTGCATATACTGTACAGAAGATGTATAGAAGTGTACTAAAACAAAAGCTGATAAAATTTAAAATTGCTCTTCATTAGGTCGTAATTACCTCAAAGAAAAGCATGGATTCCAGCTATTCTTACAGACCTTGATGCAGGTTACTTTCAGATTTTTTTCCAGGGAGAGATTTGCCCTTTGTTTTGAAGCAGTTTTGTTGTAGAGGGAATGTGAATCACTTAAAGGTTTGGTTTTGGCAAATTTAGTATTTCTTGTAGAAGCGTTATCTTTGGCAGTATACTTTTAATGTAGTTAAGTAAGCTCCTCTTAGCAGTTTCTCATAAGTTTTTCAGGAATGAAAGTTGAATGCTAAGATACCACCTGGGGTTCATATTTCAAAATGTGAGTTCGGTTCTAGTCAGTGTGACTGAAGAAGATACTGAAATCTATTTGATAGGTTATATTTAAAATCCTTACTGGTTCTTACCTAATTTATGGAAGGTAGTATGTGAACAACTGCTGGGTAGAAATGTATTGCAGACTAGTACAGACACATATAAACCTTCTTCTAAAGGTGATTCAGGACTCTTTCTAGTAGAAATAAAAATTTACATGAGAGTAATATAAGAAGGGATATATAGCATCTGGCCTATATCTGGAAATTGTTCTCATCATTAATCAGATTGTCTTTGTTTTTCTTAACTTTTTTTTTTCCTTCATAAACAATTAAGCTACCCAGGAGAATCTGTGGGAAATAACTCGAGTGGAAAATCTTTCTGCTTGGGTAGTACACTGACAAATGCATTATGCTCTTGAAAAAAAACAGCTCCAGAAATTGTTAGTGTGTTGATACCATTTTATACAAGTCTGTGCAGTATTTGTAGAATTCATCACTGATGTTTCTAATAGTTTGCTTGAAGAAGATGTTGGCATGAGTATAAAACCTATATAAATAATAGATACTTGTAAGTGATAAAAGGGGTCTTTAATAAGTGTTAGTGGGATTCAAGGAGACAGTATGCCTTTTGGTTGGCAGTTTAGGGGTCTCTCCAGAGATTTTATCCATTCTTCATCTTCTACTGTATGTGTTGTTTACTGTTTTGCTTCACAGCTGAGATGCCTAGTATTTTTTTCACAAAAAGTTGGCCTCATTCATGCACTACTACTTTTATTACTGCTAGCCCAGTGTGTGGCTTTGGGGCAGAGCTGGAAGTATTACTGGAGGCCATGTGTTTCTGAGCACAAAGGGAATTCAAGAAAAATCCTTTCTAAGAGCAGCTTTAGTTGAGCAGTGCACGCAGAAGGAGATTGCTGGAACGAACTGGCACTGCGTTCAGATTTTTTTTCTTCCCCTCCCTTTCCGCCAGTGTCTGTATTTCTCTGCAATTATGTTGGTAATTCTTTGCTCATGTGGCTGAAGGGAAATTAACAGATTGCTCTCACCTGAGTTTCCTCTGGGGGCAAAGTTTAGCAGGAGCTTCATAGCTGAATGCATTCCAAGAACAGAGTTCTTTGAAGTACAATAAAATAAGTTAATTTATACATAAGCTTAGCCTGGAACAGGGCTTATAATGTGTAGTAAATCTGAAGCAAAGTAGAAAAAATAACAACAAGAAAAAAGGCTACTAAATAAACAAGTCTTGTCATTTATCACTCACAGGTATGCGGTTGAACACTACTGTATGTAGTGTGCACCCTGGGCTGCATGCATCAAAACCTGAAATTCTCTCTTCAGCTCTTCTTTCCTTGTTTGCAACCTTATCCAACTATCTTTTGCCAGCAGTACTAATTTTGTATGTTTCGTATACAATGTTTTGTGTTGCAAAGGAATATTTGAATAAAAGGGGTAATACAATGTTAGTGTCCCTATAGAAGGGAAAAAAATAAGAGCATTTCTTTATGCCTGAGCAAAGTATCTGGACTTGGAACCCCTTAGCTGCTTTAAGTATCATTGAATATAGGTTCTCACTTGCAGATCAGAACAATCTGTAGACAACTGTGTTGTTACTGATAGTACCCAAGCTAATGTAAGGATGCCAACATGAGCTTCTGTCGCTGCAGTGACATTTTGAATATATTTCAGGAATAAAATTATGGTGTTTTCTGCTCAGGGAATTTATTAGAAAGTGAAGTGCTCGGTAATGAAGGACAGTACCTACCCGATCCAGAATGATTGTAAGCCGTAAGACTGTTTATAACAACGTGGTCCTTGCCCTCATTTAGGAAGCTGATAGCGATAAATCCCCTTCCTTCCTCCTGTCGCTGTGCTTTATGTCCCCCTGTTAAACTCAGCTATCAGCTTCCTTGCAGCACTGCAGTACCATTTTTTTCTTGACTATCGTGGCTTTATTAAGTACTAGTGTAGTGGAATAATCCAAACCCTTCATTCTTTGCTAAAAAGTATGTCCAAGTAATGAATCTGGTTTTTAGATGAGGCATTTAGCTCAACAGAACTTCTTGTGATTTCAGATGTTGCATATAAATCAAAATGTAAAAGAAATTCTGTCTTCACTTCCATTTGAATAAAACTGCCAGTTTTCCAGCACATGCTAGTTTTTAGTTAAGCCTCATAGTATCAGCTATCAGTAAAATGAGGGTTTCAGGAAGGTAAAGAAATCATCCCTTTATTAGCGTGATGATTTCTGTGGGACGCCAGGAAGGAGGAAGATCTAGCTCAGTCCAAAACTTGTGAGAAAGCTGAATTTCTCACCAGTTCATTTGCTGCTCCTCATTTTGAATTTTTAAGATGTAAGCTGCTGAAGATTGAATTTGAAACAAAAGTAATTATTGAATTTCTAGGAAGAAGCTGGCATGCTTTTTTTACTGCATTTTCAGAATAGAATTCCATAGCAAATTTCCACAGTATTTCCACAGCAGTGTATTTGGATAGAAATAATGTAATGCAGTCATAACCTTTCCAAATAAGTCTATTTACTTGATTTCTTTTCTGTGTGGTTTGAGGGTCAGAAGTCTTGAATTTTAATGCTTCAGTTTCATACTTCTAAGCCTGCTTCTCACTCACACAGACAATTTTTTTTTTCCACTCAGAATTTAACCTATTAAACAAGATAGTACTATGAGATTCCTGCCCCCCCTCCTTTCCACTTACTCGCTGTCTTCTAAGCTGAAAGCAGTTTCATGCAGGAAAATACACATGTTCTTGTTTCCCACATAGAAGTGGTGTTGCCGTTTAGTGGGAACTCTGTTCGATGAAAGATAAAAACACTGACTCGGTTATCTCTCAGTTGCTGTAGATTCAGAACCTGCCCATAGACAGTGACCACAGGTTACTTAGTCTTCTCTGTGTTGAAGTCCTCACATTTGAAATATATA